AACGTCGAATCTGAATCACTTGAAAAAAACACGGGGGTGCTTAACTTTTTTCCAGGTGTATATTTCCTTATTAAATTAAGAACTTAAAATTTATAAAGTATTATAATTTGATTTATTATCTACATCTTCATGCTAAGTTTATTCATATACATTGATAATAAAGTAGTTTAATCAAATTTTGAATGTAACTCTGTAAAAGTTTGTGATGTGCACTTTGACTTACCCAATGCAAAAAAAAAATACCTTTCACTCAGACTGATTCAGTAGGCATCATAAATACACAGGCACATCCGAGAAAATTTCTTGAGCTCAGGCTACTCTTAGTTGATAGACCTGTTCCTCCAACCAGAAAGGTGGCAATGAATGCCATTGCAATCTTATATATATTGCAAACTGTGGTGTCTATCTGAGCATTTGTCTGTCTCCTGTTTGAAAAGCTGCGCACAAGGGCAAAGTTCAACATTCACTTTTGAAATGACGGGAGAATAGGCATAGATGATGTTGATTCCAAATTTTATTTCGCAAGCAGAATATTCTACATTAAATTATTAGAGATTAATCATACTATCACTCACATTTCAAAATGTGACGTAACTTAAAGAATAAAAATGTAGATTTGCAGTACATTATTGTTGGGTGGCTCTTTGCATGACTGAAATACTCAACAATTACATTTCGTGGTGAGTGGTATAAGTAGCTCAGAATTTTGAGTCTGAGTGAAACCAAGGGTGCAACATAATTAATCTTCATAAAGTTCATGAAATAATTTAAATTGATAGATTAACTTAAACTTTTCCCATCACTGGGGATAACTACTTTTGCTTGTCAGTTACATAACACCCTGGCCTCTGTTCATTTAACAGCCATCTCCTGGCATTGCTAATTGAGAAGCTGCATTTGGATGATTGTCAAGACTATGGTGATGATGGTAGGTGGACTCGTTCAAACCTTGCCTGTTGTTGAGGTAGGTCTTAGGGCCTATTAGGAGGGTGGCTGCTCAGACTTCCACATTCTACACTTAGTTGATCCTGTAGTACAGTGATTCTCTCAATGTTTGAGTGCAGCAATTGAAGTGGAGTCCCTCTTGTTTACTGCTGTGGTGGTCATGGCTGAGGGTGGTAGTGGTGTTGGTGAAATATTGACTGACACCTTGTTTCTGTCTTTCTAGAATCTAGCCGCCCCTCGAGGCAACTTCAATTCTTGAGAGGTCTTCTTAAGCTTTAGGATGTAATGATCCTGTTGGAGGTGGTCACATATCTTATAATATCACCACCTTGTTATCAGACATCCTTCGACAGGACACTATAGCAATGGCTTCTGATGCATGCATCTACCATTCTTTTTTCTTTATCATGGTGGTTGTTGAAAGTGGTAGTTGGTCCACAATTATGATTTCAACACTAGGCATGAAGGTAGGAATTGGATGATCCATTGATTGCTCCATTATTCTGTCTAGTGAGAGCTAGCCTGGCCTCTAAAGATTTCAATACCAACCTGACAACTAACTCAGTAAGGTTCAAGATGTCTGTTGCATAAACCAGCAATGCATCTTTATCTATGGGCTCTGCCAGGTGGAAGATGAAATCAGCTCCAGGCATCTTTGGTTTAGTGGTGAAGTCCAGTTTATCACCAAATAGAAACTCCTGATCATTGAAGTGGTTCTCCGTATCAAGATAATTTGAAAATGGCTCACAATATCTGGAAACAAAAACCTACTGGCTAATTCAAGCCAAGACAGCTAAATGGGCCCAGAGCCTGATCTTAAGTATTCATTTAATTGACCAAAAGATTAGCCAGGTGTGTAAGTTGAAAGGGGGGTTTACAACCTCTAGCTATGGTTATCCTCCTCCTCTAAAAACTACCTTTAGAGACTGAGTAATATGTGAAATAGCTTAATCAATTAACACTTCTATGGGATCACATGTGCTTATGCAGTAACTGACCACAGACTTATCAGTTCACAGATTCACAGTGGGTCTTTGTTTGATCAATTCCTATTTAGCCATGCTGCAATCTATTGCAATTCCTTTGACAATGTACAGTATGCTTACTACTGAACCATGTCCTACACATGTATGTTGACCCAAGTTAGGTGACACTAACCTACACATTTCACCATTAGTGTTCCTCAAAATTTCCATTGTCTTTCTTTAGGGACCTTCTTTCAGTTACAACTTTAGTACTAGCTATTGTATTATTTACAAAAAATCACCACTTGGGTGCTATTTTCCACCTCACCATAATACATTTATAACCTGCATTTTCATGCATCTTAGTCCGTCTAGGGAAGGATATGTGTGCAATAATACATAAGGTAATTCTAAGCTTTCTTAACATATCCTCACCAAAACTGGTAAGATTTTGTTAAAGATTACAAGTATTTTGTACACAAAGAATGAGATTATTTTAATTAAGTCTTTCTACTAAAAATATTATTTATCTACTGTATTTATTTGCACTCAGACTCTGAATAGTTCATGTGCAAAGTAATTTTAGCTTTAAGTAAATAAAAACTCTTTTCCTTCTTAAAGTTTCAAATTCTATTTGCACAACCTCTAGAACCTCCTAAATAAATATGAAATGTATTTTTAAGGTAAATATTTATATATTATTTTTCATATTCTCTAACACATCACTAACTGTAGAAGTTATCATGAACATACAGTGTAGTGAAATGTTTAAAATTAAGAAATAGAAAAAAATTACATACCTTTAAATTTTATTTTCCTTTCCTGTTCTTTATCATTTATTATTCATCTCAAAAAAGTCAACAGTGCCACCAGGGCATGTTTCAGTACCTTTAGCAGAGATACACAAGCCTTTGGCAAAATGTTCTTGCACTCGCATACTACTGTAAGCCTCAGGAACTGTTGTTGTTGTTTTTTTGTTATATATATATATGGATTTCACACAAAGCTATACGAGGGCTATCTGTGCTAGCTATCCCTAATTTAGCAGTGTAAGACTAGAGGGAAGGCAGCTAGTCATCACCACCCACCATCAACTCTTGGGCTACTCTTTTACCAACGAATAGTGGGATTGACCATCACATTATAACGCCCCCACAGCTGAAAGGGCGAGCATGTTTGGTGTGATGTGGATTTGAACCCACGACCTGCAGATTGCGAGTCGAGTGCCCTAACCACCTGGCCATGCCGGGCCCCTCAGGAACTGGGGCAAAGTTTGTTATATTAACAATAGAACATTACACTGCACTTTTGTCCCTGAAACCAGCTCAAGAATTATCCACACTTGGACAAAACTAGCCATTAAACACAATATTCCTGTCAATGTCAAATTCTCTCAAAAACCCGGCTCTAACTTAAAATCATTACTAAACAAAAATTATTTAGAATCACACATTACCAACAAATTACAAAATAACACGCAATAACTGCCCAGAATTCTACATTGGAGAAACAGGAAGAAAATTGGAAACCAGAT